AAATAAAATCAAAATAAAATGTTCCGAGGAGTGTCTTGTGGTTGACAGCCTTATGACCCATGGGAAGAAGCTGTTGCACAGCCTCAATTAATTCGATCTATGAAGTTGTAGCTCCTGTTGAATGGTAGTAGGTAAAACAATCCATGAGATAGGGGGGTGGACAGTCCTCCGTTAGCCAAATTGTCCTCCCGTAGCCAAATCCTGGTGAATGGTTCTAACCTCTCTATGTTTGAGTGTAGCGTCACTCATTCGCCTGTTATATTTATACTAAAAGATTTGTCTGAGTTAGGCTTAAAGTCCAGTGTGTAGAGTTTAGTGACATCTAGTGAAGAAGTTGCATGTTGCAGCTGAATACCTCTCACCTCACCCTCCTGTTCCAAACATGACAGAGAACCTATGGAAACCTTCAGTTGTCAAACAAAAATAAAAAGTGATTAGTTTGTCTATAGTTTGGACGACTGTAAAACGTTGAGAGGACCCACTCCTGATGTAAATATAAAGTATTCAAATATAAAGAGCCCATTCAAGGGTAAAAAAAAACAACAATTCATACAATTTAAATTATTAAACACTTGTGAAAACTTCATAAGGAACATTTTAGATTCAATTTCTGCCAATAGATCCATTTAACCTCAATTCTACACACTGCACCTTTCACAGTGGTCAAAAAACATGAGACATTGGGCTCACTGCAACAAAAAAACTGATCGCTGTGCGATGGAAGCCACCCCTACTCTCTCCCATGGAGTGTGCAGTCTAACGTATTTGTACCTATACGTATAAAGTAATTTAGTATTGACATTTTATAAAGAGCTGTGGCCTGGACTGAGCCCACCCTCAAAAAATACCCCCCTAAACCCATCCCCCACTTTGATTTTACTTTATGTATTTTTTGTTTGGTTACTCATTCTAAGATTATCCCAAAAAATGTTCCCTTTCTCATTGGCATATGTTTTGTTATATTATGCTTTCTTTCTGCATCTCTTACGCAACTTTAATGACATGTAACACTAAAGGATCCTTGAAACTTGAATG